CCAGGTGTATCCAGGTGTATCCCAAGTATTCCAGGTGTATCCCAGGTGTCCCCAGGTGTATCCCAGGTGTGTCCCAGGTGTATCCAGGTGTATCCCAAGTATTCCTGGTTTATTTCAGGTGTATTCCAGGTGTATCCCAAGTGTATCCAGGTGTCTCCAGGTGTATCCCAAGTATTCCAGGTTTATTCCAGGTCTATCCCAGGTGTATCCAGGTGTATCCCAGGTGTGTCCCAGGTGTATCCCAGGTGTATCCCAGGTGTATCCCAGTTGTCTCCAGGTGTATCCCAGGTGTATCCCAGGTACCTCCAGGTGTATCCCAGTTGTCTCCAGGTGTATCCAGGTGTATCCCAGGTGTGTCCCAGTTGTCTCCAGGTGTATCCCAGGTGTATCCCAGGTACCTCCAGGTGTATCCCAGTTATCTCCAGGTGTATCCCAGTTGTCTCCAGGTGTATCCCAGGTGTATCCAGGTGTATCCCAGGTGTATCCAGGTGTATCCCAAGCATTCCAGGTGTCCCCAGGTGTATCCCAGGTCTATCCAGTTGTCTCCAGGTGTATCCCAGGTGTGTCCAGGTCTATCCAGGTGTATCCCAGGTATCTCCAGGTGTATCTCAGGTGTGTCCAGGTCTATCCAGGTGTATCCCAGGTATCTCCAGGTGTATCCCAGGTGTCTCCAGGTATCTCCCAGGTGTATCCCAGTTATCTCCAGGTCTATCCAGTTATCTCCAGGTATCTCCAGGTATCTCCCAGGTGTATCCCAGTTATCTCCAGGTGTATCCCAGTTATCTCCAGGTGTATCCCAGGTATCACCAGGTATCTCCAGGTTTATCCAGGTGTATCCCAGGTATCTCCAGGTATCTCCAGGTTTATCCAGGTGTATCCCAGGTATCACCAGGTATCTTCAGGTTTATCCAGGTGTATCCCAGGTATCTCCAGGTATCTCCAGGTCTATCCAGGTGTATCCCAGGTATCTCCAGGTCTATCCAGTTGTCTCCAGGTGTATCCCAGGTATCTCCAGGTGTATCCACGTGTATCCCAGGTGTATCCCAGGTGTATCCCAGTTATCTCCAGGTATCTCCCAGGTCTATCCAGTTATCTCCAGGTATCTCCAGGTTTATCCAGGTGTATCCCAGGTATCACCAGGTATCTCCAGGTCTATCCAGGTGTTTCCCAGGTGTATCCAGGTGTATCCCAGGTTTATCCAGGTGTGTCCCAGGTATCTCCAGGTCTATCCAGTTGTCTCCAGGTGTATCCCAGGTATCACCAGTTATCTCCAGGTCTATCCCGGTGTTTCCCAGGTGTCTCCAGGTATCTCCCAGGTGTATCCCAGTTATCTCCAGGTGTATCCAGGTCTATCCAGTTATCTCCAGGTGTGTCCCAGGTATCTCCAGGTCTATCCAGTTGTCTCCAGGTCTATCCAGGTATATCCCAGGTATCACCAGCTATCTCCAGGTCTATCCAGGTGTTTCCCAGGTGTGTCCCAGGTGTATCCCAGGTATCACCAGGTCTATCCAGGTTTACCCAGGTGTATCCCAGGTACCTCCCAGGTGTTTCCAGGTGCGTCTCCCGCCCTAACTCCCCCCTTTTCCTTTTCCCCCCCCCCCCCCGTCAGTTCCTGAGCGCCTGCTCGGCGGCCACGCGGGAGCACCCGGAGGTGCTGCCCTTCCTGCGCTCGCGCCACGCCCGCGCCCGCCCGGAGTTCCGCGGCTCCGCCGAGTTCCGCAACATCCTGGGGCGGCTCCTGCGCCGCCTCCGCAGCCGCCGCAGCAAGACCTTCGTCTACATCAACGAGCTCTGCACCGAGCTCAAGGCACGGGCCCTGCCCC